ACGTATATTCAATTTTTTCCTCTACCTTTGTTATGCTTTGTTATGTCCAATTCAGAATAAACTATTGCGAGAACTCTCGATAGTTACTCGCAAGCAATTGGCCGCTGGAGAGGATATTTCGGCAACTTTTACTCTCCGATAGTTTTTAAAGAGCTATAATGAGGTTATTACCAGACAATACTCTCAGAACCGTGTCCACTACACAGCTACACTTTCTTGAAAGGGAAAGAAGCCACGTTTACTAGAAAGACAAATCATTTATGATTTTATGAGCTTTTTGTTAATCCTTTTTCAAGAAATATGATAAAATTATTAATACTGGGAAAATTGTTTTTAAATTTATCTAAATTCCAATTGCTGAGTGTGCACAATTAATCATAAAATAACATGTCCGTAATACGCTTTCAATCAGGACAGGCATAAACTATTTTTAAGCATTTGTGGAAAAACACCCAATATAAATATAAAAATTAATTTTCGAATACGAAGTAAGCAATACATTTTTTGTATATAATACTTTATTATTAAATACACATTAATTTAAAAGCGTTATTAAGAATTATAAAAAAAAATAATTTATTTCTTTCTGCAATCTTTAATCCCGTACTAAAATAATCTGGCTGTTCTATTTCCCGACGACTTCCATTGTATCATAAATCTGTGAAACGAATTGCTTTTAGTCCCGAAAGAATTTACCAATTTATAGGTTTTTTGTTAATTTTTCTTTCAACAAATAGGACAGAGATATTAATTAATGTTGGCCACAACTGCTTTACCGAATGTCTCCAGGATCGAAAAGAACAGAGTTTTCTTTTAACTTACAATTAGTTTCGCAGTTTTATTTTTTGACCATCGAAACTTTGTCATCATGGACTGTTTATTCTCGGAGAGCACTGTCCCACATTGAAATTTGTTCGTATTGTGAGAATCTCTCGCCGGAGATCAACGGAACTCTTCTAGAATCGTTTTCACCCATGTGTGACTTGGGAGAACAGCTCTCGAAAGCTACTCTAAGGCTACTTTCAAGTGAATAGGTAGCTTTAGTATATTGTCACATGAGATTTGTGATTACTCTCCAACAAAATTAAGGTTTTTTATTAATTTACAATTTACAATGTAACTATGGCCCGTTCCTCAACCAAGTTAAAAACTAATAGGGTATTAGTGAACCAACTCCTCATAAAACAATATAATCATAACATATTGCAAAATAAGTTCTATTTGATATTTTACAATTATTAAATCAATGTTTTCTTCGGCTGCCCGTATCCGTTAGGCCAGATAAGAGAGCCTGTTACATTCTAAATTAAAAGCAATATGTACTTAGCAAAACTCTGAGATGACGTAATTAAATTTTTATCCAACAAGAAAAAGTTTGATTTGTACCATTTATACGGCAATAATAAAGTACACCTCGTGAAATTATTTTAGTCCCATAAAATCGCCAACACGCAGACAACAGATAGATGGAATAGATATAAGTTAAGGAAACATGAAATTATAGATTTGTAAAACAAAAATGAGATAATAATTCTCAATTTTTAATTTTAGTTAGCTTAAAAAGGTTTTTACTGTTATTATCACCCCTGTCTTTATGTATTGTTGACAATATATGTGTTATTTACTATACTTTTTTGCTTTGTTAAACGTACTTTAATAACTAGGGGCAATTTTTACTTATTGAGCCTAATTTAAAAACAAAACAAATTATTGCGAGAATGGTATTATCATAAATATCGACTAATTTAATGTTTCTTCACATTTTACAGTTTGGAAAACACGCAAATATATTTTTTTTTTAGTCTGTCGTCTGTTGACTTTATTAAAAATTGATTTCAAATTTACTACATCTAAAATTCTTCCATATTCTTAAAAAAAAAAAAATGCTGCTAGGAGCCCTCAAGATTTTTTCCGATGAGAGAAAATAGAAAGTTCAATCTATTTTCAGTCTATCTCATTTCCGCCAAAAAAGTCGACAATGTTATAAATAAAATTTATGAAGGCTGAAAACAGTGGTGAAAACGACGTTCCAATATTTCCATTGATAAATAATAATTAAGATTTTGATTTTTAAAAATACGTGATGTAAAAATTTCACCAAATGTAAACTGTTATTACTTCCCAAGCGTAAGGTAAGGAAGGATAGTAAACGAGTCCATCGGACGAATGGTCACTTTTATATTTTCTCGACGTTTTAGGACCCCTAGAGTAGGCAAAAACTAGTCTCTAGTTTTCGTCTGTCTGTCTATCTGCATCAAATTTTATTAGACACGTAATCTCCGAAACTGCTGGACCGATTGTTGTCAAATTTTATATGTATATTTGAAATATCATGTAGATGGCTAAGTGCTAACCAATCATCCCCACCAACAATTTGATGACGTTATTTCAAAGAATTCTATGTTTATTTGATTTAACTGTTATACAACAATATAGTCCTAAAACTGTGGTGTACGAATCCGCTTTGAATTTTTCCCTAACCGTCCAAATTTTTGCAAAAACAAAACGCCCCTCTTTATTTAAAAATGTAAATCCTTCTCGGGGGTGCCAATGTCTTTTTAAGATTATGAAACCTTCTCGGGGGCCCAGGTGTCTTTTATTAAAAATTTAGAACCTTCTCAGCACCAAATGTGTCTTTTTTTATTGTGTAACCTTCTCGGGGGTCCCAACTGTTTGTTTTTTAATGTAAAACCTTCTCGGGGGCCCCAATGTCTTATTTTTAAAAATGTGAAACCTTTTAGGAAGTTCCAACTGTCTTTCTTAAAAATGCAAAACCTTCTCGCGGACGCCAAATGTCTTTTTTAAGAATGTGAAACGTTCTCGGGGTTTCCAACTGTCATTTTTAAAAATGTAAAATCTTCTCAGGGGCGCTAAATGCTTTTTTAAAAATGTGAAAGCTTCTCGAGGGTCCCAACTATTTTTTTTTAATGTGAAACCTTCTCGGTGGTCCCAAATGTCTTTTTTTAAGAATGTGAAACCTTCTCGGGGGCCTCAACTGTTTTTTTTTTTAAGAATGTGAAACCTTCTCGAGGGTCACAACTGTCCTTTTTTGACTAAGGTGAAACCTTCTTTTTTTCCATTACACTGTTGTGACTAGTACCTTTTAGATTGTTTTTATTCCATAGAGGTTACCACGAAAAAGGAAAATTCCGCAAAATTAAATTTTATAATTTTTCAGAGAAGCAGTATCTGTTGGACTGGATTTCAGAAGCGAGGGAAATTCTCTCGAAATAACTTTGGACTAATTTAATAATAATATTTAAAGTGTCCCTCCGCGTTATATAGTGACAAGTGTAGACATGTTATATTTAAAATTTGATAACAATAAGTGTTTTAATCATGGAGATATTATACTCGTATTTTGAAAATGTATTGATAATCCATAAACTCCAAACTTCTTAAAAATTTTTCAAAAACAAGACACTAGTGGTTTTCTAGTTTGTTCAAAATTCTTTCAAAAAATTTTATCCCATCTTTAAAAAAACTTTAGGAACCCTTAAAATTCTTTCAAATACTTTCAAAAAGAAAAAACCCGCAATACAATTTCGGAGTCAAAAAATTTTGTTTTGAGAATTTGATTATTTATGATAACTCTCTAAGTAAAAAAAATTTAAAAAAATACTGGTCCCAGGTAAGTCTTTCTTAAAAATTTTGTGATGATATCATCAACTTTTGGGCTTGATACATTTATGAGTTTGGAAAGGTAAAATGCAATACTAAATAACAACAACACAACAACATAATTTCAAGACAGTGCACTGAAGTAAGCCGTTTTTGATTTAATTACGATTATTTAAAAAACTACTCCATTAATTAATTATTATTATCTTACGCTCGAACGGCAAAAAATGGATCCAGGATTCGTTCTTTTTGTGATTCATAGTCAAAAAATAGGAGAAGTTTTGCTGAAATATATTTATTAGACATCGACAATGAAATCAGAGAACGTCGAACTTGACAGTTTGGGAAAACAGTTAAAGAAATATAACCATTAATGTTTATCTTTTATTTAAATCTGAATCAGTACTGCTCATATAACACGTAGGTATTAACATTTTTACGAGCACTGCGCATTCTACTTTTAATGATTTCATTAACAGAACAGTTGTACATTTTTCCGTAAGTTTAATAAATGAAAACCTTAAAAATACGTCACAATTTTGCGATTATGTGACTAGAATTAGTTATGAGTGTTGATATCTTGTTATGTTGGTTGTATTCTCTTTTAGTATGTGCGCAAGATATCGGTTAAATGAAACACGTTGCAGATATTGCAGAAACATTTTGTAAAGTCATTGTGATTAAAAATCAAGGCGGATTCATAAACCACAAGTATAGGTGTATGTTATTTTATAAAATTTGTTCTATTGTAATACTTTCTTAGCTGACTCTAAGTAAAGTAAATGTAAAGTAAAGTAAAAATGTTAAGATTCATTTCCTGGATGTTTTTTAAAATAATTCTACAGCAACTGGGGCGTTTTTAGTGTACTGTTTCACCTCTGACTACGCGATAATACCATACACTTTAAAATTGATAAACTGCAGCAAAATGAAAATGATCCCAGGGGTACTACTAAAAAATAAAAATTTTCGTTTCGGTTATTCACGGATCAATAATAACCTGTTTCCACGACTAATCCCACACGTACATTTACGTTTCAATCGGACTATTTTAATTTGTCATTGAACATTCAATTACAAATAAAACGTCAACATTAAAAACTGCTTTTTGATAACTAAATAAACGCGCAATTCATTGCGTACCTATCTGACTATCCTATTCCGAGCGCGGTAAATCGAGATAAACATTTTGCTATTCCGTTAATTTAGTCGAACATAATCAAAACAAATTTCAATTATGTTAAAATCACAGCGGGATAAATGATGAGGCAGAGCAGATAACAACTATATAGAGAGCTCGCCAGAGTGAGCTGTATAGCAGGTGCTGTTAGCACACGCTCGTTACTGCCTACACCTGAGTGTGAATGATCCCAAATTACCTGCGAGTCATCTTGGGAGAAGATAGCGTCAAAGGCGAACATTTTGGGCGCTGCGACACCAACTCTGCGATCTTCAGGCGCTGATGAACTCCCGCAAGTCGAAGGGTCAATTAGATTAACTTGTTTCTTTCGTTTGTCTAAGCTGAAGAACGTGTTTGAACATGCCTCGGCTCCGGGACCGGAGCAAGGATTCGACACTCGCAGCATCACTTTAACCTGAAACAAAAAATTGGAATAATACGTGATTTAAATAAATATGTACGCTGTCTCATTTAAAGTTTCATTCGCGCTGAATGACGCGTGATTAGATTAACAGAAGCGTCGAAGCAATTATGTTCTTAGTAAACCGTAACGAACTATATGAGTGAAATGACGATGGCACATGGTGAAGCTTAATTTGCAAGAGCGATTTCATAAAACAGCAATAAAACAGGGGAAAATTGTTTGAAATGATAATTACTAAAACTAGAGTACCGACTACTTTGAAAATTTAACTGTACTTTGAGATTATAATAAGGTCGTAAAATTTATCTTATCTCTCAACTGAAGTGGACGAAATATTATTATTATGGGAGATTTAAACATAGAGTTTTGTGAGCAAACTAATAGATTACAAAATTTAGCAGCATTTTTTAACATCCAATTTAAAACAAATTGTAAATAGGTTTCCTAAATCAGAAATGATTTGGTGTCATTGATTGACATAATCTGTTTAAAACAGCAGACAGGTTCAAACCAAGATGCCATTGATCTTTTCAACTTTTTATAAAATTGATATAAAATCTATCAAACGTAAGACTAATACTTCTAATTACAGAAATTTAGACTTTGACATAAATCCCTTTTCTGATGATGCAAACTTTATAAATTGGATTCATATCAGTAGTCTAGGAACAATAGGTGGAAAGGTGTTTTTTTTTCATTTTTGTCATGCGTGCTCCACTTAAATAAAACTACCTGCATTATGAAGCCATCTACACAATATGTAACACACACAACAAAAGTTTTACGAAAGAATAGAGAATGAATATGAAAGGCTATCAAAAAATACATAAAGATGATAATAATATATGTTAACGCAAAAGTAGGAAAGGGTTTTTATAAATTATTCTAAGGGCGTAGTTGACCATGGATTTCGAAAATCCTGCTTTGTTGAAATTATGTCTCATTATGGCAGTTCTTACTTGTCATTAATATCATGTAACTTGTAATTTAAAGTCGTCTCTTTTATTGTTCTAACGTTTTTCAAGTCTGAATTACAGTAATTCTCGTAGATCCAAGCTCAAAACGACAAAAAACAGTCGTTTTCAAGACTCTTTGTGCTTGCGTACGAAAATTTTTGTTCGAACTGGTAGAGTGGACAAAAGGAAATCTTCTAGAAGACCTCCACAATCTGAGGTAGTTGCGACATGAAATTGAACAATGGATCCAAAGCATTAACGAATGATGTTACAGAACATTTGAAATTTAATCACAATAAATTTGTTTATTTTTATTGTAAGTTTATTATTATTAATAACATAAGATATGAAATATTTAGGCAACCAGGTATACAAATTCATGTAGTATTTGTCGTGCGTCTTGGGCATTTAGTAAAAACACGAAGTGATAGGCGGCACACTTCCATGACCTACTTCGACCCTATAATCATTTATAGAAACCCTGTACAATGGTGACAGGTAGCACAGCAGACAGTAAAATGATCATCCAGAATAATAAGTTTTGCTGTGGAAAGACAAATTGTCATACAAAGTACATATGCAGTTGAGACGGAGAAAGATGCATAAATAATAATAAAACAATAAACCAGATAGACCATGTAAGAATACAGAGAATGAAAGGTGTTAAATGTAATTCGGACCACTTCTTAGTAATGTTGACACATAAAAATGAATGGACTGGAAACAAAAAAGATAACAAATAATGAAGAACAAGAAAAAGCATGGAATAAGTACATTCAGAAAGTATGAGAATGATCGGTCACAGTATCAAAAGCTGAAGGAATAGAAGTTTTGAGAAGCTGCAGGGTCCAAACAGAAATTTTAATGGACGTAACGAAATGAAAACAAAAAGACAAAGACTAGCATGATGGAGAGCGGTAGGTCATAAGTGGGTGACCTAACGAAGATTCGGCTCGAAGAACCCAAATGTTAGGTCATAAATGGGTGACTTAACGAAAATGTCGACCTGAAGGATCAGGTCACAATGGATGACCAAAAGTGAAGCTATTAATACAGCCTCGATTTTATTCTGACGGTTTATAATCAAATCTACAAAATGTGTATGCCTATTTTCAAAGGTGAACAGAGGTGGGTGAGAGGGTGGAGTTTAATGCATCCCTCTCCTTCCATGTACCTGGACTGACTGGGTGGACTGTGTGACAAAAATAGCAGAATTATTTACTAAGAAAAGACAGACAAAAGATGTTAGCGGATAATACGAGAGTAAATAAAGTAAAAAATTATTGAGAAATAAGAAGAGAAATGAACAAAATTATGATGAAACAAAATTTAATGAAAATAAATTGAGAGGAACGGAATAGAAGTTCCAAAAGGAAGAAGTAAGCTAAAAATATAGAAAGGGGTATCAAAACCAGTGCACATGAATAAAAGACGAGGTAGAAAGATTACTAATTAGCGTGAAAGGAAAAATGGAGGAATTATTTCAAGGAATTATTAAACTAAGGGGGAGAAGAGAACGCCTGTAATTAAACCTGGAGGAAGAAATAAACAAGAGAAGAAATAGAAGACAACATTAGAAATTTGAAGAATCATAGAAGCCCGGGGCAACTGAAATAATATCGGAGTGCTAGAAAATTGGTCGAAAGTTATATCGACAGGATTTCCATCGCCCCTGAGGTACAACAAATACCGCTTCATTGAAAAATAAAAAAATATTTTGCTAGCTTTGATTTATAATAACCTAAATAAATTAAAACACATCCTATAAACGTGTTTTAACATCTTATATATTTTTTGTTTGTCTATGACACCCATTTTTTTTAATAACACTATATATTTTTTACAGATTCTTGGAGAGCTCGTTTTTCTGATTTCATTAATGTATTGTACTTTAACCACCCATACCCCGCCTCTGTCTGATTCGAGGGCATTATGTTACGAAAAGACACTTGTTTGCATTTGGTCTGGAGTGACCATGATAGGAAACTTATGTCAATTCCGACGTGTGCAGTGTACTAATACTAATAGTAACATATTGCCGTGTACCGTTCTTGAGATTTGATCAATACAAAATTTTAATAGATAATAGCAGTATATGAAACCCATGCCGTTCGATCTTTTTTGCGAAAATTTAGATGTTTCTGGGAAAATCTGAAGATGGATTCATGGACAACAATCAGCGTTTTACCATCTACACTATATTCATAACATACATATAAAATGTGCTTAGTAAAAGCCGGACAGACAAACAAATGAAAATGGGCGACCTACTTTTTCGTACTCTAGGGGACATGAAATGTCGAGAAAAGAAAAGTAAGTAGCCAGTCGCCCGATGGACTCAATTACAATAGTTCCTTAGCTTACGCTCGAGAAGTACAAATATGGGAAACAGAAAGAATGCTTGAAGATTGTAAGGACTTGTGGAAAAATATTAACTCATATCCAAACCTGTCGTTGGTTATTCCTCTTGGAAATCGAATTGTAAAACACATTAATGATGCTAATATGTTGTCAATTTATAGCACCACGTAACTTTTAATATTTTTTCTAATATTTGTAGCGATTCCTCCATGCTACGGGTTCAAAAATACGAAGCGAATGTTCAAATTATAGCTAGAAATGAAAATAAACTTTTTGCCAAAATTTATAACTTCTGAGCTATATTTAGAGTTATTTTGAGCATAAGCCCTAAGTGTCTATTCCCGGGAAAAAGGAAACGATTGTTTATAGTTTCCACGCTCTCTTGTTTATAGCTTCAAGGAATTTGTTCAAAAACTGTAACGAAGAAAATTTTTGGCCGACCGTAAGCTGCGATAAGGGTACGAATGAACCCGAGGTTTCGTGACAACCACGCCGGGCCGACGTTGAGCGGGAGGCAGCTCAGACGCAAGAAAAAGTGTCAAAAACACCGAGGTAACCCCAAAGAGTGCCGTTACCACCAAGCACCGTACCTACTAGAAGTACCCTGGTGGGTAGTGTAAGCTACTTTGAGAACACCTATACAACCGCCACCGTCTCCGTTTTCGCGTCACCGCCTCCCCAGGATCTGAAACAGTACCACCTAACGAGGAGCCGCCGCCAAGGACGCCACAGAACGAACTCGATCGGATTTTCAGTTTTTTAATTGCTGCAAGTTTTTTTAGTCTGTTTAGTTTAGTTTTTTATTTAGTTCTGCAGCTAGTGGGTAGGAAGAAAAGCCAAACCTTTTCAATTTTAACCGCAGATACGTTTCTCCGGTTAGAGTACAGTCGCGGCCAGAAAATCTTGGATGTCATTTTCCTGTCATTTTGATATTTGAAGTTTAAAAGATTTGTCACATTTGTCACGTCGAATCCAGTGTTAGCATGCCTGCAGCGTCAAAAATGGCAAAACTAAAAAATAAGGTTACAATTCTTAAAGGTGTTTCACATTTTGTGACAGAGGAATGACACTGCAGTCCAAAATTTTCTGGCTTCGTCTCTGGAAAGCGAGCTGGCGCCCGAGCAACCGTCCCCGCAGAAGACGCCAACCCTCGTCACACCAAGACGAGTCAGGCGTGTCGTCAGGGGCACTAGTCGATCCAAGGCTCGACACTGACGTACGTCACAACCCCTACTTAGAACCCCCACCGTGGCTGTCACTGTCAACACCGACCCCCTTCAACACTTTTGATAATCCCTATATCGTTGGAAAGTATTTTTACATCTAGCGCCTTTACCGCGTAGTACGAAAATCATTCGCGTTAAATTAGAGACTTCCGTTCATAAGTCTTTTATAAATGACAATTAACAAGTTAACAAGCGAACAGATGTCAATAAAATCAGCGTTTCCAAAACCCTATTTGATGAGGGATACACGGATATATGCTAACTATTATACGGTCGTGATCCATATATATCTTTATATTTTAGACACACCACTGACCCGGAAATGATCGGCATTCAGGCAAGATTTCTAGCATTACGGGTACTAAGATCAAGTGATGAGGTGCATTAATTAGAAGCAACTTTCGAAATTCTATAGATCGTCAACAGACGATAGACGGTGGATAGACCA